GTGGGAAATTATATTGTCGTTTTACTAGATGAGGAAATGGAGGCAGAGATTAAATCATAGCCTGCTCATCCTCTCACATCTAGTAAGTGGCAGAGCCAGGGCTTGATCCCAGGTTTATGTTCAGCAGTAAGCTCTGGAGGACAGTCTTAGGCAGCTGGTTAGGAAAGCTCAGCAGAGGAAATAATATCAGAGAAGGGGCTTTTCATATCAGTGAACACTCAGCATGGTGCCAGACACCTACCACAATCTCTCTGCAGGTGTTTGTTGAATAAAATTTAATTTGTACTTTAACTCCCTTATAAACAAAGAAACTGAGATTCAGAGAGGTAAATGACATGTTTGAATTTGCATAGCTAGTAAATGCAATGAACTAAAGCTGGGGAGTAAGAGGGTTTTGCAAGAAAACAAGAACCTGGTTATTATAATGGGGTGAGGTAGTATATCTGTATTCATCAAGATAGGCTCTGTGTGTGTGTCTGCACATTTCTATAGCCTCTCCAAATCTCAGTGGTTGAAAAGTCCATAAACAAAAGGTCTTTTTCTTTCTGTTTCTTTAAAGAGAGCCAGAGATTGAGTGCGAGGTTGGGGGGAAGGGGCTGAGGGAGAGAGAGAATTTTAAGCAGGCTATACACTCACCATGGAGCCCGATGCAAGGCTCCATCTCATGACTCTGAGATCATGACCCAAACCAAAATCAAGAGTCAGATGCTTAACCAACTGAGCCACCCAGGTCCCCCCAGAGGTGTCTTTCTTACTCGTGCTTCAACTCTGTAGGGTGATGGGAGACTCAGCTCAGCTTGGTCGCTCAGGAACCAGGCTGACAAGAGCCCTACCCTCTTATGATTCCACCATGTCTACAGAAAGCTCTGGAGGTCACTGCAGCAGGGAAGAAGAGTATGGAGAGTTGCACACTAGAGTTTGGATTCTTCTGCCAGAACATGACTCACATCACTTCCGCTCATTTCTCATTGACCAAAGTAAAGTGTCCACCCCTAACTTTATAGAGGCTGGGCAGTGTAATCCTCCCTTGTACCTGAAGGGAGCAGGGAACTGGAAATACTGGTGAACATTAACTGTGTCTTCTTCAGTGGCAAGTGGTTATGTGGGTAGGCTCTGGAGTTGGACAGTTATATCTTAGAATTCCATCTGAGACACATACTCACCATGTGATCTTGACTGATTTAGTCTCTCTCAGCTGTGGTTTCCTCTTCTGTAAAATGGCGACAGTAGTAGTAACATGTGAAGCCCTTGGTCCAGGGTCTGGCACAGTGTAAGCCCTCACTAAATGTTATCTACATCTATGAGGTCACAAGCACTTGGAAAGTATGACAGTAACATTTGTGGCTTACTGTGAGCTGGGAGAGGGAGAGGGCAGGTATGAGGCAACGAGGCTGGAGGCAGACACATCAGGGAGGAAGCAATTGAAATATTCCAGGCAAGAGATAATGACGCTTACCACAGGGCAGTAATTGCTGGGAGAGAGAGAACAGGTTTGAAAAAAACAGAAGCTAAAACTGTCAGGGTGATTGTTGATTCTGAGCTGTATCTTTTCGTTGCTTAAATTCTCTTCACTACCTTAGCAGTCCACAGGGAGTGAAGCACCATGGCAAAGCAATGGTATCCTGGAAGCAGTGGTAGTAGGGGGATCCCAATACCACTCCTCCTCTGCTCCCACCTTAGCCTGAGAAAACCTGGAGAGGATGGTGGTGGGGTGGTATCCTCAGGAGATGTCAGACTTCACCCAAGGCCAGAGGGAAAGAATGCAATGGGATGAAGTTTCTGAGGATGCAAAGGGTTGAGAGGAGGGTACCTGTGCTCGTGGGAAACAGGTATGAATAACATAGTGCCATGAATACTTATCAATGGATTGATTTGAAGCCACCACCCATACTCCTTGGGCTCTAGATACCCTGAGGAGAAGCCAAAACCTGCAGACATTAGGTCTGAGGGCTGCCAGTGCCTTGACCACAACAAGACCACAGTGTCTGGTTTTTCTATGTGGTCCTGGTACCTTGCACATGGCATGGAGTCACTGTCTGATTAATATTTGTTAAGTTGGAAGGGAGACTGACTTTAGAGAAGAGAGCAAACCTGAAAAGCCCTCTTCCCACCCAGACCTGAGCACTAATGTTGGACTGAGGACATTAGGCAGTAAGTGTCTCCACCATCTGAAGCTGGAAATTGTGCAAGTCTGTTCTTGTAAATTCTTCTTTAGACATTATGAGCTGTTACTTTTATCACTGTTTGTCTTTGACCAGGACAGGGAGTGTCTTTGAGCAGAGGGTTCCCTGGACAGCCTCCCTGACATGGAACTAATAGAGTTTCTGAGGAAAGGACCTTGGGAGTGAGCATGTGGAAGTCTCTCCATGTTCTGTTCTGGGGACACAGCTTTTCCTATCATGAGCAGCTGTGTGCCCAGAAAGCACCAATATCAGCCCATTTTATCACCAGTCCAAGGGAAGCAATGGTAGAAAGAGAAGCAAGTGGCTATGTCTGTGTCTACAGCTAGCTGCCTTATGTCTTCCTTGATGCTTTCTGAAGAACTGCAGGGACACTTTCTTTGCTTGATCTCCTTTGGGTTACCTAGCAGGCCACTCTACTCCCTATGGGTAGTAACCTAAAGTATCCTGTCCTAAAATATAATTGACAAATATTCCCCCTGCCCTCACTATTTAACACCTAGTAATACCCCATAGACTAGTATTCTGTAGAACACACTCTGGGAAGAACTGAGCCGACACTATCTGTCTTTTCAGAGATTCTGTGATTGTCATTAACGTTAAGATTTTTTGTCAAATAAATCAAGATAATACCACATGTGAACTGCCAAATGTATATGGGCCAATAAGTCATGGGTGTCAGATGAGTTAAAATTCTCTGTGACTTTTCACGATTACAAATTATGTCTCTACATGGCTGCCAGGGCGATCTTCTAAAGTGCAAACTGGGGCTTCACAGGCTTACCATTGCCTATGGGATAAAATCTAGATTCTAGAGAACAGTGTTCAAGGCTCATCACGAGTGACTCTTAACTGCTTTCCCAGCATCATCTCTTTCCCCACTCCCAAGGACATCTTGGACTCTGTCCAAGCCACCTTCCTCCAGTTACCCAGAATCCCATGCTTCTCTTTACCTCTTTGCCTTTGTAAATGCTGTTTTCTGTGCCTGGGACTTCCTTTTGTCCTTATAGTGTGCTCCTACTCATCCTCTGAGCCTCAGCTCAAATTCTCCCTCTTGTCAAACATCTTCCTGGCCTCCTTAAGCAGAGTTAAAAGCTTTCCCTTACCTCATGTTACCTTTTAACATTCACATCTATTCCATTACTCACTAATTGGATTGTGTTTGGTTTTCCCACTAGACTGTGAGCCCTCCAAGGACACATACTCTGTCTTATTCATATTCCCCCCACCCAGTGTCTAGCACATAGTAGAAACTTAATACGTGTTTGTTGAAAGAATAGATGATTAAATGAAAGAACAATAAAAGTAGAGGATGTTACTGCCTGGTTACAGATTTGTAGCTGGTGTTCAATAGTCCAGGAATGAAGGAAAATGAGCTTCAGATTGCTTGGTCACAAGCTGATATTTCTTACCAACAAGGAAAAACACTGAACAAATGGAAAGCATTGATGAATGATGTGATCCTTAAGGAGTAGGGAAACCCTTCAGAGAAAGATATCAGGCAGGCACCTAGTGTTTCCTTGGGAAGGACTTTGTTTTTCACCATATCAAAGCTTCTCTAGCATCCATAGCTTCTCCCTCTTTGACTCCTTCCCTACGCTTTTAAGTATTTTCATACATTCCATGTTAAACAAGAGAAGCAAACAAGTAACCTCTGATTATGCCTGAAGTTCTACCTCTAAGATCCATGATGGAACTTCTCAGGGTCATGATACACAGAAAGTATTTTGACTTCCTCAAGGCATTTGACAATGTAGTTCACGAAATCCTGGCAGACAGGATGGGATTAAAGGTTTATGACAATCGAGTTTAAGGAGCACTGGTTATAGATTGAAATTAATCTGGAGGCAGGTCTTGGTGACAAGCCAAGTGGCTCTCTCCCATGGCCTCATCTTCCTTTAGGCTCCCTGTTCTGCATTCTGTTCCAGCCATGCTGGCCTCTTTTCAGCTTCCAGTACTTTCTGGACTCTCTTCACCACCAGACCTTTTGCAGAAGGCCTTTGCCTCTGCCTGGAAACTTCTTTACTTTCATCCTCACCTGGTTGGTCACACACAGCCCTCACCTCACACATGACTTCCTCCTCCCCAGCTAGGTTAAACCCCTTTATTCTGATGCTCAGTGTTCCCTCATATTTCTATTTGTAGTAATCCTCATGGCCGCAGTTTTATTTATTTGTGGATTTTCTTTCTTCTTCACTAGACTCTAAGGAGATGTTTCTTTTCCCATGTCCGATTTTTCTTACTGGTGCATTCTCAGTTCCTGTACAGCTCTTGGCTTGGATGAACAAATGAATGAATAGGAAAGCTACAGTCCAAGTTAAGCAAATTCAAGACCTGAAAGTATGTGAGAGGCTGCCTGGGGTCCAAAGCTGACAGGAACAAGCAAACAAATATGTTCAGACAAAGTGAGTTTGCAGTGAATTCCTTGGACCAAGGTCACATATGTTGGTATTTCTTTTAAAAGCTCCAGGTTGGCTTGATTCTTCCTCAAGTCACAGTTCTCTGGAGGTTGAGAGGATTGATCAGTATGTTGGATCACCAGATCGGGATTCAGAAAGAACACAAGATCAATGATAGTTCAAATCATTGAGCATCTCTCTTATCAGTCCTACACTCTAACCTCTAGGGGGAGCTCTAGGCCTCTCCTCCTCTCACCAGGTGACCAAAGTAGAAGGGGTGGGGCTCCTAGTGGGAGGGATAATGCAATTATAAGTGGAGCTGGATTGAACAAATGCTCTTTTATTCACCCCCTGTTTCACGGTTTTCTTTTGTTCTTGGTTTCTTTTCTTTTTCTTCCCCACTGTGTTTGTCATCAGATGGGCTTGTTTGGATGAGTTCACACAAGTTCTACAACTGTCAGAGGTGCTCCAGTCCAGGTTGCCAAGGTGGGAGACATTATAAGGATTTGGGGGGGAGGGGGTGACAATGCTATAATTAGGAGTAAAGATCAAGCTTTTGCCTGGTGCATTCTTGGTGCCTTTATGCCTTAAGCTGTCATCATGATGGGAGGCAGGTGTTACAAGACATAGCTAACATGTCAGTGAGCCAGGTGCTGTGCTAGGCTCTGCAACACCATGACGAGTTAGACATAGTTCCTGCCCACAGAGGTTTTCTATCTCAGTTTAGTCAGCCACACTCCTATGTTTAACCTAAATAATCACTGGCAAAAATGCAAGATGGAGGAGTCCTGGTTTAGTAATAGTAAGAAAACAAAACACAACAAAAACCCAAGGAATTATAATTTACCATAAACTCAAAATGAAAATATAGAGTGATGTGGCAGCTGACAGGTTTTTGTAATTTTAGGCTCCATTAATAGAAATATACTATGTGGATCAAAGGAGTTAATAGTCCCATTGTAATTAGTGCTGGTCAGTCCACATCTGGAGTATTGTGTTTCCTTCTGGACACCACATCTAAAGAGAAACATGGACAAATTACAGTGTGTCTAGTGAGGGCTGCCCAGGATGGTAAGGGGGCTGGAAACCCTATCATACACAGATAATTGAAGGACCTGGGAATGCTTAGGCTGGGAAATAAAAGACTTAGGTGGGGGACATAATAGCTATTTTCAAAGATTTGTCATACAGAAAGGGCATGGGCCAACACCATGTGTTGTTACAGAGAACACTTCTCAGGGATAGCACTTGGGTGAACTGGTGGAGATGTTGGGGAAAGATTCTTAGTTTGACATGAGGAGAAACTTCCTAGCATCCAGCTGTCCAACAGTGGACTGGGTGTTCTCTTTTCTTAGCACTTCCCCTTCTTGTCTCCTTTTATGCCTCTCTTTCCGAGAACTGGTTTGCAGGTTCTCTTTTCCTCCCTAATGATCTCGAATCCTTGATTCTTCTTGGTCACGATGGAATGAAGCTTTAGAATTTACTTCTGTGTGAGAGAAATGGTAATATTGACAACTGACACTCTGCTAAGCACTTTATAGTGGTGATACTGATGGCTTAAAACAAAGTATGAAATAAATATAGTCATCATTCTTTTTTATAGAGGAAGAAACAAAGCTTAGATAGCTTGCTCAAAGTCACATACCTAGTGCTGTGGACTGAATGATGTGCCCCTAAAATTCAGATGTTGAAGCCCTAACTCTCAATGTAACTGTATTTGGAAATGGGGCCTCCGGGGAAAAAATTAAAGTTAAATGAAGTCCTAAGGGTAGGGCTCTGATCCAATAGGGTTAGTGTCCTTATAAGACCTCTTCCTGCTCCTCCTCATTATGCTCCTCCTCTCTTCCTTTTCCCTCCATGGGAGGACACGGTGACAAGGCAACATCTATAAGCCAGGAGGAGAGCCTGTACCAAAAACCAAATCAGACAGCACACTGATCTTGGAGTTCCCAGCCTCCAAAACTGAGAAAAATTAATTTGTGTTGCTTAAGCCACCCAGTGAATGGTACTTTGTTAAGGCAGCCCAAGCTGACCAATACAGTCGGTAAATGGGAGAGTCAGGATTTGAAACCAGAAAGTCTACTTTAATAGCCTATTCTAGCCACCTTGCAATACTTGCCTTTTCTCTACCAAAATAGAAATTCATGAAAAAACAAAAAACAAACCAGGTAGATTAGGAGTTAAGACCTAAGTGGACTAATGGAATAGGATTTTTTTTTCCCAGTGAATGGGGGGTAGAAGTACATGGCAGAAATAAATATGTAGCTTGTGTGAGTGTGTTGAGGGCAGCGTTGCTCAGTGTGTTCTCCTGGACTTGTCACTTCTGGCTACCTGAACTGTGCAGTGTCTTTGTTAAAAGAAAACAGTACTTAGATCCACTCCGATGGCTACTCCAGGTGGCCTGCACGTGTCGCCAGGCTGAGACTACTTTATTTAGTGGCACAGCTGGGATTCTGATGTAAATATTGCCTTCTTTCTCTGACACTCTCTCCCGGTGCCACAGGGGTCTGGGCATTCTGTTTTAATTGTGTCTTTATTGCTTTACGTGGGACAAAGTCTTTTATAATGAGTAAGACAATTGAAAAGCTCTTTCCTCTTAAAAACCTCTATGACTCACCAAATACACTCAAACCACAACTCAATAAAGCTATGATTAAAGTCTATGTCGAATAAATCTCTCAATGAGCAGAGTTTTGCATGCTGTTACCACAAGTCATCCAAACCCTTTGATGTATGTTGGGCCCTCTTGCTCATAGACCTCTGTCCTATCATCACTTTCCTCAGCCATGAATCTTAGGCTCGTGTGATTTCTCAGTGGAGAAGAAGTCTTGTCTAATGGGAGGTACAGAGGGAAGGCTTCCTGGAACATGTGGAGACAAACCAGGAAGGTGATCCAAATGAAAGGTAAGACTAGAAGAAGAAAATCAGCAGCAAATGGATAGCATTCCCAGCTGGAACCCTGCCTGTGCTGAATCCAGGGGCTGCTGGAATAAGTGAGCAAGACTGATTTAGAGGGAGTTTTGCCCACATTTTCATCTTCTGGCTCTTGTTCTGTGTAGAATCATGTTGTGGAAAAAAAAAAAACAACAACCAACAAACCACCCTTCAAACAGTGTCTGAAACAAAATTCTTTCCAGAGATAAATTTATATTTACCACCTGAGGCTATAAGTACCAATATGAAGAGGTTCACTAAGTTATCTGAAGATATGATTTTTGGTATATACATACAACATTTTCTTTGATTTTATTGCTTCCAGCAACTATTAATTCAGAGAGAACTAACTGGCCATCTGTTCTGATAAACTTGAGGTGGCTTGAATTCTTTGCAATTTTTTTCCAGCAAAACTTCTCTTAGGGCAATTGAAAGCCTCATTTCTTTGTGTGTTCATGATATTTTACTTCGAATAGTGATATTTTTACTTAAGTGGTAAAAGAGAGATTGAAATTACAGCAGCAACTATCATAGGTCCAGAAAGGAGCCACCTAAAGAGAGAAGACTAGAACTGGTTGTCATTTTTACATAATAGTCTTCAAATATGACCAGCCATGAATAAACTGTATATTGCCCTTTAAGGGTGAGAGCCAGAGGTTGAAACTCCACATATGGCCATCAAGAGATCTGGTTTGGGGTTTTCAAATGCTTCGAGTGCCTCCTGACATGGTTGGGCTATGGAATTAATCTATTTAAAGCTGAAGGCAGACAAATTCTGAGACCGATGGGAGCTACTTGTTGTACACACTTAACTGCGACATTTTTCATTTTTACAACCATTGCCGATAGCTATATCGAGTGTTATATAAACTGTCCCGTGTGAAATAGTAAAAAACAGCCCCTTGGGGAAGTTTTAGGACAGACCAGAATGTCTCACACTGTCGAGGATGACTTTTCATCCTTCTGTTATCAAGATGAAGAAACTGAGGGTCAGAGAAGAACGGGAGCTTATTCAGATTTATCTTGAGAGGGAGACACTCTGTTGTGGTGCTTTGCTTGTCACTGACTCTTTTTCTGCAAGTAGGGCCCAGCCTGATGCTGTGTACCAGATGTCCCCTTTTCTGCCTTGCCACTAAATACCCTTTTGAGGCCTGACTCATGTGACCCTCCCTTGGCCTCTGGCTTCCCTTTGGGATGAGTTCCTACCTCTTCAAGCCTTGGTTGGAGCCCATTGCTTTCTTCCCAGGATTAAATGTATGAGCCAAGTCTGCTCCTTGCTGACTTCTCCCCATCAGGGGAGGGCAACTGTGCTGAGTCAGATCCCCAGGTGATTCAGGTGAACATTAAAGCTTGAGAAGCACTTCCTAGGGCAGGGTCAAGGTCAGGGGCACAGGCCAGGAATTTGGAACTCAGTAGGGGCAGGATGGGAGTGAGAGCAGGTCAGGACAAGCAGGCAGGGATGCCAAGGTGAGGGGCAGGATGGTTGCCACCAACATCAAGGGGGGTTTTGAACCTGCCCCCATGGGCTGTGGTGTGGGGTATGGGAATATATCCAGACTAAAAGCTCTACTCAGTTTCCACCTTGGATGTAGGTCCTGGAGGATAGGGACCTAGCTTACCCTCTGTCTCCTCAGGGCCTAACACGGCACTTAACACAGCAGAGATGTGCAGCTAAGGTGTCTGCCCAACTAAATCGGTCCCCTCAGCCTCTCCTGCCAGTCACCCAGCTTGGGGGATCAGGGTGGAGAGTCGTCAGCAAGTTTGCATTTCCCTCAGGGGTCTCCTGGTAAGATAAAGACATTCTGTTATTTTCTTCAGCAGAAACCACCCGGCTGGATCAGAGAGGATCCGGCATCAGAGCCCTTGAAAGCCCAGGCAGTGGCCAGAAGACCCAGGCTCCCACCCTGGTGTTGACCCATCCACGTGCTCAACAGAAAATGGACCTGCTGGTTCTTACTTTTATGGCCGAGAGAGCTGGTGCCTAGCTGCCAGATCCAGAGCCCTGCTGCGCACCGGGGCGGGGGTGGTGGGGAGGGCGGGGGGTGCGGGGGGGCTCTCAACTCGTTAGTGCGAACCTCTGCAGAACCTCAGGAATGAGCTCCGCTTGCAACAGCCTTCTCCTGGCAAGAATTAGTGCTAAGGTGCAGAGGAAGGAATGTGAAGGCCGCAGAGCCAGCTCAGGGGATTGCTATTGCAATCAGAAGACGGCCCAAGTCAGAGCTCCCAAGTCCTTTGAAGGGATGCCAACTCGGTCACATGTTTCCAATTATCATATGCAATCTCGAGACAGTGTGCAAGTTGCACTTTCATTATGTCAAAGTGAAAGGAACAGTGAGGGTGAGATAAACAGGGAGAGGCCGCCAGGCCCAAGTCGGCCCAGAGCATGGCAGCGAATGTCTGCCCCGGTGGCTAGCGGGCCTCCAGCCCAAGTCCGTCCCCGGAGCCGGGGGCTCGCGGTGCCCACTCAGAGGGTCAATCATTTTCCTACTTATTTTGGGTGTTAAGGAACGCCGGCCGATAAGGCTGGAGGAAGTCACATCTTCAGGAAGCTATTTGAACAGCTCTTTGGCATCTGGGCTGAGGACGAAAGATTTTTGTGGCCGGCATACAAGGACCTTGTGTTCATGCACAGGATTTCACACCATTCTTCCTTGGGTTTTCCCAAGGTTTTCCGTCTGTATTTGCAGGAAAAGCTAGTTCTTTGCCAGGCTATAGCTCAGAATGAGGTGGCTTTCCTCTCTCTCCCGTCTAGGGGCTGGGCAACCTCTTGGTTGGGCTTTACATGGTTTGTAAATCTGGGAAAAGTCCCAGAGCAAACGATAATTTCATTCAACTTCTTTTTCCAAACACAGTTTTCGAAGTTGTTTCCTTCAGGAAGTCTTCCCTGATTTACTCTTTACACCGATTGCTTCTTATCACTGTAGCTGTCGTTTTGAATGTTTATGTGCACCGATTTGTAGGTCCCTCTGTGTTTTTAAGTCAGTGGGTGGGTGCATGTGAGTGTAGGAGGTGCACTTCCTGGCTGCTTCTTAGCTCAAGGGGGCTCTCTGTGTGTTTGTATTTGTATGTTGTGTCTATATGTGGGCATATATGTATATATAGTCGTGTGTGTATTTACATATGTCTTATATACAATAATTTACAATGTGCCAAGCACTGGACTAAGTGCCTTACTACTCAACAAAGTGGGTTCTATTATTATCATCCATATTTTCTGTATAAGACAACTGAAGTGCAGAGAAATAAGGTAATTTGTCTGATATCACTCAGCCAAGCTTGTGGTGAGGCCAGGATTCGACCGTGGCAGTCTGAATACGCTCGTCGCCATGACACCAACCTCCGAAAGCTTCTAGGATGACTCTCATGCAGTGGCCTCAGGAAGGACTTCGTCTTTAATCACTTAACCCATTTATTGCTGACACAGGGTAGGCACAGACAGGGTGGGAGTGATGAGGGTGGTGGAGAAGAAGATGGGAATTAAATTCTGTCTTACCTGCCCTAAGGCACTGATTCAGTGCCTGTCACATGCAAGATCGGGCCGGATGCCAAGGGGAACACAGATGGAACGCATCCTGGATTTTAAGGAGCAGCCCTGGGTTGCAGGGAGTCTCTTCAGGCTTCTGCTGCAAGAATTTAATCTTGGCCCTGGACCTCCTGAGCCATCTCCACAAACCCAGGTGAATGCTGAGAAGGTCATAGCTTTTTTTGGTTGCAGACCCAAGTAAGCTGGAACAAAACAGATCCCACGTGCTTGACACGTGGAAATGCTCAGAGCCAATGGTTTATAAACTTGCCAAAGGCTGGAGGAGTAAACACATCCCAGAGAACCGTGGAATAGTCCTCTGGCAGTGATGCATGCAAACAGAAAGCCCCGACTGGCAGCACTCTCCTTAAGGTGGTCTTAGTTTTAGAAGCCAGAGGCTTGCTCAGAGCTTAGCCACATGAACTGCTTAGCAGTCACTATTAATATTACCTGTCATGGAATGAACCTATGAGGCATCTATGAAACTTTCTGTTCATGAACCGCCTTGCCTTGCTGAAAGCTGCTCCACCCTGTTCTAACATCCTTTTAGGGTTTTGCAGCCAACTCGGCTTTTCAAAACTAAAATTTATTACATACTTCTGAAGTGCCAGGTGCTTATGTATATTTGCATATTATCTCCTATAATCATCTCTAGGCCCTCTGAGAAAGTGCTACTATTATGCCCATTTCACAGATGAAGAAATGGAAACTCAGAGAAGTGAAGCAACTTGCCCAAGGTCACACAGCCTAAGTAGAAGTACCTGGCTTGTCTGACTCCACAGCCCACTCCCTCGCTCTTGACCTTTCTGGGCCTGGCTACGCCATACCCACATTCATATCCCATGACGTCCACGGACCAAATGGTTTCCTTTACCCGACTGATACCTTGGCCAAAAAACCAATGTTTCCTGAGTACCAGCATAGTTGTTACCTTCCTACAGTCAGCACAGAAATTGTTCTGTTGAGGATAAATTCCTTTGCCTTGCACTTGCATAGGATGTGGCCGTTTACTTTCAAATATGCGGTTTTACTTCATGGTCACAACTCTGGGAGATAGGAATGGTTATTTTCATCTCACGGCTGAGGATCTGAGGCCAAAGAGGAGCTGTGGCTTGCCAAGGCTCACAGAGAGGAATGGGGGAGTGGGACCTAGAACCTAGCTCTGCTGACACCGAGCCCCTTGTCGGTGGCATCACACCCAGCTCCTTCCTCAGCGCCAGGGGCCTGGGGGCTCCTGTTCTTCCATTCAGGCCTGTGGAAGAAAGCCTGAGGTCACTGCCGAGTGGGGCCCCTGTGATCTTCATAGCCCACACTTGCACTCATTTCTGCACCCCCATTCCGAACGCCCCCTTTCCTCCAAGGAGCAGAGAACATGTGGCCCATGAGGGGCAGACCCTGCCCCTGTGTCCTCTGTCCTCCAGGTCTGGGGTGGACCCTTCTCCCATAATGCAGATTACACAGAGGAGAAAGTGGTGAGACTTCGAAGAAGAGCATTCCCATATCTCATGGGGATGAAACTAGCTAACCGTTTGCTGGCAGTTGAAAATCTGTCTCTCTGTGGTAGGTGTTTTGCTAGCGGCGGAAGCAGAGCTAGGGGCGCCTAGTGCCCTGGCTGGGGGGGGGAGGGTAGAGGTCAGAGGGACAGACTTGGAATATACACCAGAGTCAGGCCCCATCTTGCTCTCGTTTCCCAGAACCAGGATTTTTGCTTTGCTAGGAGGCCTGGGCCGTGTCCGGCTGAGGATGAGCCTGGGTCTGCACTAGTTTTCTTTGGCATGCTAGAGGGAGGTCTTCCGGTGGAGGAAGCTGCCTGCCGAGGGGAGGGGATCTGCTCCGACTCTCCGGGCTTTGGGGGAACTGGGCGGGAAATCTCAACGTGGTGAGCGGAGGAAAGGTTGGTGGGCTCTGCAGCTGCCGCCCCTCAGGGGGACATAATGGGTGGTTGTGAGCTATTATTTCAATGTGTTCAAGTGTCTGGCGCCCTGATGACCTGGGCCAGCCTCTCCGAGGCAGCCGGGCTGGGTGTGGAAGGCAGAGCTCCCCCCTGGGTTGTGGGGGCAGAGTGCAAGCTGCACAACCACCAGGCTCGGGGTTATTTTTGGACTGCTCCAACTCTCTTGGGCCGAACTGATATCCCCGCGCATGGCGTGAAAACACTGCCTCCCACACGGCCACTCGGGAGCTGGGCCTCGCGCTCTGTTGCCTTTGGGGAAGGCCTTGGGTTAGTGGGGGGGGGGGGCTCCTCGTGATAAGGAAAATCTGTGTCCTAAGACGGCCGACCGGGCCATCGAGAGAGTCCCAGTCCTTGCCCTGGGGCTCTTCTGGGTTCTCCCTGCTCTGCTTCCTACGGGCACCAATCCGGGTGCTCCTCCCTGCCCCGCTTCCCGCAAGCACCAAAAGGGCCAAGTCTGCAGAAGTAGAAATGTATATATTGCCCCCTTTGTTTGTGTTTGGGGCTCAGGCCTTTGGAGACCACTCTCCTTTGAGCTCACTGGTGTTGAATAAATCTCCTATCCTCCAAGGTCTCCGGATGCCGCTTGGTTCTTCTGTCGGGTGATCCAGTCCAGGTTCCGGAACTCTCTTCCCTGACCCTCGGCCTCCGTGCTTCCTCAGAGGCTTGGAGGCTGCCTTCCCTCCAGACAGGCCAGGAGAGTCCAGAATATTTATTTTAGATGTCCCAGCGGCCTGCAGTACGGGGATGAGCTCCCCAGACTCTTCATGCTGGTGTAGCTGCTCACCAACGAAGCTTCTTCGGGGCTGGGAGCTTCTGAAATGCCTCCCTCACTGCCCACCCTCGCATAGCCAGGACCCCGCAGGACTGCCGGCTCGAGGAGGAAGGCCCCCCAGGAGCGGTCTTCAGGCGGAGCCAGGAGGGCTGAGGTCACGGGCCCTGGAGCCCAGGGAAAAAGCCGCAGACACAGGCCGGTGGGAGGGCTCCCTCTCCCCAGCCTTTATGTGACCAAGCATCTCAGCATGCAACGTTCTGGTTGGTGTTTCTTGAGCATGAATCTTTATTCCAATGGAGTAGCTTTGATAGGAAAAACAGGGCTCATTTCATCATACTTTTCATCCTAATCAAATGCCTCGCTTGCCAAAGCTCTCTACGTTTCTAACTGGCCCTATTTGGATTGGTTTGGGGGGCGGGTGGGATAGACGACGTTACAGAGGAATGAATATGACCATTTGCTTTTTTTTTTTTTTCTTTTTTTTAAATCAGAGGGACAATTTGGGTCTAAACCTAGAGTAGGCCTTTCACCCTGGGCAGGAAGGGATGGCTAGGAAAGCAGAAATTCCATTTCAATGTAAGTGCTCCGCTGGGGGAAAAATGTGCCTTCAGGGAAAAAATAAATAAGTTACAGGGGAAGGTGGAGGATGGGTGCAGCCCTGCTCCAGACTGGCCCCTGGAGTCTCTCACCCCCATCTCTGGCCAGGAGCTCTTGAAGTAGTCAGTGTTGATTAGCATTACCCCCCCCCCCCCCCCCCCAACCACAACTACACAGGGTGTTGGAGTTTCTGGAGGCCCAGGGTACCGGTGCTGCTAAACACGACACACCTTCTTCCTTGTTCTGCCCCGTGGCCCCCATGTCACCTGCCTCTCCTCTCCCCTCTCCTGTTCCCGCTCCCCTGTCGGGGAGAAGCAGGAAGTCGCTGTTCCCTTCTGGCTCGGCCCACCTTTCCTCTGAACCTCCTGGCTTTTGTATCGGTTCTCACTCTGTTTACCTCTGTTCTCCCCACCGCCATCTACTCTCCAGTTTCCCTGACCCCTCCCACCTTTGGTCAATTGTGGAAATCACCCAGTTAGAAATCAAAAAGTTCTTTCTGGGAAGGTCTCTGGCCCCCCTGATTATAGGCCAATGTTGGGGCCGTTGGAAGCTGCTGTGGGGCTGTCAGTGGGTGGCAAGAGTGACGGAGGCCCTCCTGTGTTCTCGGGTAATGCAGTCTTTCTGCAGGAAGCCTCTGGAGGATAAATGGAGGACCTGCCATTAGTCCTAAGGCAGTCTTAACATGAAATCAGATCTACCATGACAGCTCTCATGCGATTATTTCATTACCATTCTTCCAGACAGCATTGCAGCCAAAAGCAGATCTCCCCCTAAAAACAAGCCAGTCCCATAGGTCTTTGGTGCAAGCCTCCTCCTACTATATGGTGAGTCCCTCTGGGACTCTGAGGTGGGGGACCTGTTTCTGCTGAGGCTCCACAAACTTCCCGAGGCTCATGCATTGGGGCGGCGGGCCAGGTAATCCAAGGATTAGGTAGCTTTGGCTCTGGAAGGCAGATCAAAGCTGTAATCCAGCAGACTTCCCTTTCTAATCATGTCCGGCTTAGGCGAATCTGCGAACCCAGTCAGCCTTCCCTGAACTTTGCAGAACTGGCTGGGGTGGGGTGAGGGTGACAGCCAGGGGACACTGTGGGTAATTCACCCTGCAATGTCCCAAGACTTGCAGAGGGTCACACTGGGGAAAATGACTGGAGTGCTGGCACATGGGATGCTTCCAAAAATTTAATAAATAATGATTTTTTAAAACTGTATAAACTATAAATTACCATGCAGTCCTTATAATTTAAAATAATTTACAGGTTGAGGTAGGGAGGGGCCCAGGAGGGTGTGGAGGGGGAGCTCGGGGAGGGTGGGGGCTGTCCTGCAGGTCAGGCTCTTCTCCCAGCCTTCCTGCTGAGCACGCACACGCAGGCTGTGTCGATCCGGATAAACCGCCAGGCAGCCTGCTTGCCGTCCATGGTCAGTGCCTTGACGAAGGTGTGGGTCGTGGTACAATATGAGTTCCAGTGCTTGGAGTCAATGCCCCTGCACCCGCTGTCCACGGGCGTGGGGTCCCGGCACTTGGTCTCAAAAAAGTACTGTTTGAACACACTGTTGTTAATGTTCACCTCTCCCAACACCATCACCTCCTTGCCCTTGATGTCCGTGGCGGTGGTCTTGTCCCCCACCCACACGCTGACGCTGTCGCACACCGAGAACTCCCCCCGGTGGAAGACAGGGTGGGACGATGACCGCTTGCTCCTGTGAGTCCTGTTCACGGAGGTGGCACCGCCGGCCTCCACGTCCAGATCCTGAGTATCTGCCGCCACAGGTGGGGGGTGTGTGCTGAAGAGCACGCGGGGTGAGCGCAGCCGCCGCTTTTTAAAGAGTTTGGGGTCCACAGTGATGTTGCAGGTCTGCCCTGCCACCCTTGCAGCTATTGCCCCTGCTGGGGCGCTGCGGGCTCTGCGGAGGGCTGTGTCAAGGGAATGCTGAAGCTTAGTCCAGTGGGCTTGGGGGATGGCGTGTCCTGCTGGGACATGGCTCTCGGGATGGGGTTCTGCCTGGATGCCGATCAAAAGAGCTGTGATCAGAGTGTAGAACAACATGGACATTACGCTATGCACCTGGAAGGAAACAGAAACGGGGATTAGTCCACGGGGCGCTAAGTTCTGTACAAAGGCAGTTTCTGGGTCTTAACCTCCCGAGAGGATCACAAGGAGGTTTATTTCACCTGGGAGTCTAAGGGCAAGGTGACCCTGGAATTTACCGTTCAAACCGAGAGACTTTTGAGAGCTACAGGGGCTGCTGGCCACAATGACATAGGACAATAGGCGTAAACAGGGCTGGCTCAGATGACCTGGAGGTATGGTCACGCCATTCACGGGGTGGGCTTTTTCAGGAAGGGACAAAGCCCCTGAAATTCCGCCCTCTGGCACCATGTGAATTTGGCAGCACCATATACAGGGTCCTTTGAGTCCTTGAGGCTGCTGTGGGTGGACAGTATGTGTCTGAAATATGTCCTTAGCACTGTGTCAAGCCCAACGGCTTGATTCCCCTGGGAAGGCAGTGGGAAGGGTTGCCGGGGATTTGTCTTGAAGCCTCAGCCCTGAATACACCCTCTTCAGACAGCAGCACTGGGTCGGCTCTGAGATCTGGTGACTTGGAACCCTTGTTACAAACCCATGAAGCATCATGTTTGGCAAAAAAAGTATATAGCTCTGGGACCGGCATTGCCAGCCTATTCAGCCACCAGCCAGCACTGAGAAATATCGACGCTGATAACAGCTCCTTGTTGTGTGACATTTTAAAACGTCTCAAGTGCATTCATTTCTAATTTCTCATTAGTCTGTGACTTAGGTTAGGATTTATAATCTTTCTTTCATATACAAGGAAAGTGATCCACAGAAAATTAACCAAGAGGCCTAAAGTCATCAGCACAACTAGGAACAGAACCCAAAGCTGACCCCTTACTAAGCCAGTCTACCCTTCCTTCCTTCCCCCTCACTTTGTCTTTCATTCTTTTTTTCTTTAAGATTTTATTTATTCATTTGAGAGAGAGAGAGAGAGAGAGAGAGAGAGAGCAGGGGCAGAGGGAGAAGCAGACTCCCTGCTGAGCAGAGAGCCCGATGCGGGACTCGACCCTCTGGACTTCGGGATCATGACCCGGGGGGAAGGCAGATGCCCAACTGACTGAGCCACCAGGTGCCCTTGTCTTCCATTCTTAAACATGCCTTTTCTTTTTATTATTTACTCCTATGTGAGTATAGAGCAAAAGGCAGAAATCATCTGTCCCCGTGAGGCAGTATAAACCCCTTTGGAGCATGGGCCAGATGGGGCTCCACACCGTACCAGAGTTGCCCACCAGTGACCACCCCTAGGGCAGCTAACTGTGGATGGATATCAAATGTCACCTCCTCTGTGAAGCCTCCCTAAATCTTGGTAGGGTTAGAGGCATCCCCTAGAGAGGGTGCTCTAACTTTCTATTCCATTCTTTCCCCCTTTTTCTCCCCCTTCCCACGGGTCATTCTGCATTGGATCTGGGGTTAGAAAACTTTGTTTGGATTCCCGGCTCGGCTACTTGATAGCAGAGGAAAATCACTTAATCTTTCTGAGCCTTAGTCTCCTCATTGGTAAAATTGTAACCACTATTTCACAGGGTTGTTGCGAGGATTGAAAGGTATGCACACATCTACTTAATTCTGAGTCATTCCAATGTCCTGTGTTGACCATGACGGACTTTGTCTTCTTTAGTCACACTGCTGCTTGTTTGCTCTCTGAGCCTACTCCATTCACACCTTTTCATAGCACACTCATTGCCTCAACTGGGCTTCTTTTCAAGCCTGATGATTTGAGCCTGTCTCCCCACTGGCTCCAAGGTCCTGGAGCGCAGAGCCGTGTCTCATCCACCTGCCCTAGTCACTCCATCCTCGGTGTGCACCTCTCTTGTCTTCCGTGGCGGCTTGTGCATAACCTTACCACCTTTCCTAGTGCGGTGGATAATTGAGTACCTTGAGAGCACTTTAGAAGCTGTGCTGTTTGGAGTTAGATATTTCCGGGGCCATGTGCAGTGCTGGCACACATTAAGTCCTCAAAAATATAAGGAGAATGAATGAAGCAGTGAATGGGGGTGGCGCGAGAAGCTCACTACCTGCCTTCTTTTCATTGTGGTACATGCTTTCTTTTGGATTTTGTGGATGATATGGCTGCATGCTGCGTTCCTAATCTGTTTCAAAATGATGCATTCTTCTCTTCAATACTGTGCTTTTTTTTTTTTTTTTCAGCTGGAAACAGGCAGCTCTTTGGTGAGATACCAAGAATAAAACCACCAAATTCTTTTCTCTTGGGTTACTTTGAAAAACATTGGTGTTTACTCCAGTCCTCCAGCCGGCCATGCAGAGGAGGTGGTGGTACATCTGGGCTTTTGACCACCGCTGATTCTGCTGGCTAATGGTGTGGCAGATAATTGTCCAGCCAACTGCTACAGAATCGATCATTTGGTTGGTTGGCAGGTAAGTCAAGCCCCTTGGTTTGCTCTTTTTCTTTCTTCTCAATACACGGTATCTCTCATCAGATAGAAGAAGAGAGAAGACATGAAACTGAAAATTCATCTGTTTATATCCAAATTAGTAACACTTAGAATTTGGATGGGGAAATGGAAAAAGGAAACCACTAAAATTTAGGTTTTTTTTTGGTAATAAGGGACAACCTGCTCCCTATTTCCCATGACCAGAGAGAGGTTCCCACCTCCTCCTCCAGTCTCCCCTTTGGTAAGCTCATCCTCTTCTAAGGAGTCAGCCGAGACTTCTGTGGGATTGATGCCCATACGGGGACCTCTAGCCCAACTGCTCTTTTGAAAGCCAGTTCTGAACCTCCAGCAACTCTCCACGGATATTGACATTTTAAACGCAAGGCATCCCAAGCAAAAATCTTCACACTCCTACTCCTCGGTTGATCACTCACTGCCCTCCCTGTATTCAACAGCAGCAGTCCCATTTTGGACCGCTTGACAGCTTATGACGTAGTTCCCCAGCTGCTATCACTTGTGAACATCTCCCTGCACCCCACCCTCCTAAATGTGTTTCTCCAACATTTTCCTTTACTCTGGTACTGGAACCACCATCCCTTTGTTCACCAGCTCCAAACCTCAGATCAGCGCTGGCCTCTGCTGTTTCCTCCTGGTCCTCCCCACCTCAGCCTTTTGCGTTTTGTTCCCCAGTAGCATCTCTTGAAATTGAACTTTCTATTCTCACCTCCTGTTCCTAGTTCACGTCACAGAACCGTCTCCCAACTGATGTTCTGGACCCTTATCTCTCTTCTTCCAGTGCCTACTGTCCCTAGCCACCCCATTTAACCTCTTGAAGCACTGCTCTGATCACATCACCCGCCCAGAGGGTCCAGTGGTGAGCAGTTGTCCTTGGTTCAGACTCTTCTATGCCAGGCATACTCTCCCTTGCCCTCCGTGTGCCTTTTCTGCTCTCCGCCTCTGTTGGTTGGATTCCTTCCCATCACCTTTTAACATCCAACTTAAATACCACCTCCACTGGGTGCGGCGGGGGGGGACCTTTTTCTATTTCTGCAAAGACTCTCTCCCTTCTCCACCTCTGTAAAGCATTTCCTTAATGTTGTCTTAGGGCGGTTGTGTTCTCGTCTTCTCCCACCTCCAGGCAAACTCCCTGGAGGCAGAAAAGCATCCAGTTCATCTTCGTTGTGTCCAGGTGACCTACTGTTCACAGGTGGCTCCGGCTGTAAGAATCAGTGAGCGTGCGGACGAGTCCCTTGCTTCTGTGCTCCTTCACTTCTCCATGTGACTGCTGATTCTTAAGGAATCTTCCAGCTCGGACATGCTTCCAGCTTAAGCAGCTATGCAGGCTGCTGCTCTGCCTGGCACTCTGCAGGTTCTACTGAATTGACCTCACAAAGTTCTTAACGTCAACTGTGACTTCTCGATTCGCTGTCAGGATGACGCATGGTAGCGGATGGCATTTCATCACAGTGGAGATTTGCATTAGGGACAGATTGCTTCATTAAGATATTTGAAAATGTTGCAAATATACCTCTCATAAAAGTTTTTTTTTAACTGACTCACCCATAATCTTTTTTTAAAATTTTATTTATTTTTTTATGTTTAAAATATACTTCCTAGCTTTTTTTTTCAAGTGAGAATGTTGCCATGTCTGCCATTTTCTCATAATGCAGTGACAATAGCAAATATTTTTATTTTTATTTATTCATTTTCATTAAGCTTTTTGTTGTAGTTCCAGTAAACATTGTTATATGAGTTTCAGGTGTATAATATGGTGGTTCAACAATTCTATACATTACTCAGTGCTCATCATGATTAAGTGTACTCTTTAATCCCCTTCAGCTATTTCTTTTTAAATTAAATAAAACTTTCTTTTAAAAAATCATCAATGGAGAAATAAAAGAAAAAACAAGTGTGATTTCTATTCTAGTGATATAATGAACAAAAGCAGTTTATAAGAGAATATTCTCTCCTTGGTTGACGTGAACCAGGGAGTGAGTTTTATTTATTTATTTTTAAGAACAACCTTTGAAGCCTTTCTCTTGAAGACATGGCAGTTCTCACTGAGGCTTCAATAAGCAGAGCCCTGTAACCTGAGTGATCAGCTGGGGATGATGCCATTAGGGGCTTGCATGTTGGAAGGTGCTCTGTGTCACTGCTGAATGTTCTGTATTTGTCCTGCTCCTAGCCTGAGTGGAGAATAAATGTTTAAGAGTGTGTGTGTGTGTGGGGGGGTGCCTTTTATTCAGGGCTCCCCCACTTTTGTGCCCTGTCTTGGATCAGTGGTACATTCTGTGGGTTTCCAGTGGTTCCTATGCTCCAAACATGACAGAAATTTCCTGCAAATTTCTTCACGCAGACTCAGGCTGCACCTGATGAGGTGATCAAGCTGCTGGATGGAGCTAAGCAACTGGCCCACAACCCTGTGGCTCGGAGGGCTGACAGCACCTGGAGAACACGGCCGTGGAGGTTCGCTGTCCAGGGGAGTATGATGATTCCTGCCTCAGAGGGCTGGTGCTTAGAGCTTTAGTGATTCCGGGCCCAGAGATCGGATCAGTGAGCCGGGGTCACTAGTGTTAGTGAGGCCAAGTTCCTGTGGCTGAGGAAATCCAGCCTCTTCCTCCATCCTACTCGCCAGCCACGTTATGAGAGTGGGTCAAGGGTCATTTTTGATGTACACTTGGCCTCGCTCTAAATGTAAACATGCTGCTGTCTTCAGTTGTAAAGACTGGGACACCCCCAGTTGTCAGGACCTGTGTGGAGTGTGAGAGGCATTCTGTGGCTCCTCAGCTCCCCAGGGAGGTACCCCTGAGGCTGCAACAGAGAACAGCATTGCCAGGATAGAACCCAAGGAGTGCCTCTGCTGGCATCTCCCGGGGGAAGCTTGGACTGGAAGGGACAGCAGAGATGATCAAGTCCAGAGGTTCAGAGCATCAGAATCACCTGGAGAGTCTGCTAAACTGCAGACTGCTGGGCGCCCAAGAATCTACGTTTCTCACAAGCTCCCAGGTGATACTGATGCTGCTGGGCAGGGACTGCATTTTGAGAACCAGCGATCTAGTCCAATCCTTGAACTAGACAGAGGAGAGACACAGGTGTCAGGGAGTCTGAGTGACCTACGGTTCTGCAGCTAGTGAGTGGCAGGCTCTGCCTGTGGGGCGCTTGGTGTCACTCAGCCTCAGTACCTTCCAGAGAGAGAGCTCCAAGGCCCCACTCACTGGAACCCATGGCTACACTTACTCAGTCACCAACATCAAAACGAGAATTCCATTTAACAGATTGTAAGTTTCATCTTCCTCATGCCACAAATCTGGACACCGGGGAATACCTGGGTATTCGATTGTTTTCATATTTGGTTTGTCAGGTTTCTGGGCATCAGGTAGATTTGGTCCAAAAGCACTTAAAATGCCCACGATAGAAATACACAGCCAGAAAGTACTAGCGGGTACAGGCACCTATGGCTTTATTGGGAACGGGATCTACTGGTCTGCAGTCTTAGACACACATCTTAAAATGAATGAGGGGAGATCACAATTATCACCTTTATCCTTTATTGGGCATAAGTACCTCATTAACCATCACAACAAACCTGGGAGGAGGCCTTATTATTCCCGTTGTACAGAGGAGAAAACAGAGAGGTAAAGAGTAAATACCCTGATGTGGGCACACACCCAGTGGCAGTGGAACTCAGTGCTGGCCTCTGTCCCCAGATCTGGAGCTCTCCCCACCTTCTACCCCATGGCCAAGTGCATGAGAGTGATCAAGGACATTTTATCTCAAGAGGTTGCCTGCTCAGACTGATCAGGAGCTGTGTGGAGGGTCTGACTGATGCTCTCTGTCTGTCTATTGGAGGCTCTGTGTTCTGTTACTTCAGAGGTGGGCAGCTCAGACTCTTTACATGTCCCTGGAAGCTGTGGGGCCAGCTGAAAGCATGGCAGAATTCTTTCCCGGTCGGACTAGGGAGGGCCACATGTGCTGGATCACTAGGACCCACACCAGACCCCTGCTGATTAGCAGTTAGATGTGACTCCCCTTATTCAGCTTGGGGCTTATTTCCAGCTGTCTTGGATGCTCCAGAGCCAGGAGCCTTGGTGAGGCAGAAGCCCCTCAAGTGCTTACCTCGATGTGGCCAGGACAGAAAGCTGCTCCCTTGAAAAAGCCGTTATTGGGCCCGGACGCTGAGCTGAGCTTGGGTCCAGCATGCCATCCAGCCCCCTGGACTGCAGCACAACCACAGGCCAGGACTCTGTGGGATGAGAGAGCTGGCATTAGATGAGTACTTCACCATATTCTCTAGCAGATGGATAGCTATACCCTAGGCAGGAGGGGAGGGATGTGCCAATAGGACAAACCCTATTTCCCAAGTTCTGGAACTTTACCAGCATCTGCATCCAGGAAGGACCTAGAGTCTAGCTGCTGAAATTGCCAGGGGCTGACCTTGCATAGACCTATGGTGCCACCTGCCTCCCATTCTTGTGCCAAAGCACTTGGTTTCTGCCTGGATGCAGGCCATGGGTCCCAACAAGGTGCTTCCAGTCCCACCCAGAGTCCTGCTCCAGCAGACTCCTAACCCAGCACTGAAATGGAAATTATTCTGTACATTACACACATGCAGATGTAGTAGACCCAACTTGGGACAGCCTAACTTAAGATAAATTATATGGAAGAAAAAGCCCTGACAATTGAGAACAAGTTGGTACTTTGATAAAAATCCAGATGAGTTATGGTGGCAAATATGACAACCTGACCACTCGATAGATGATAACAGAAAACTCTTATAGAATTGGGTTGTGACTCTCAGAGAACCATGCCAAAAGTCAAATTTTATCAATCAGAAGATATATGGATGATACAATGAGAAAAAAAAAAGTAGGCTGTATTTTTAAGTTTGTAAAAAAGAGGTTGTAAGTTTAGGTTGTAGTTCCTAGAAGCAATGGAAGTTTTCAATTCTCCTCTCACTTCTATAAACCTTGTATATGTAAGTACTTCCTTCATTCATTCAACAATATTTCCTGAGCCCCTGCTATTTGTTAGGCACTGACCTGGGTGCTGGGGACGCAGCAGTGAATGAGACAGACAGGGTCTCTTCTCTTATGGAGCTTACAGTCTTATATAAATAAACAATATATCTCCTGAATCTTTACATGTCATGAAGGAAATACACAAGGTATGATGATAGAGGGGGACTGTGGGGTGTAGCGAGGGGATCCTGTAGACAGGTCGCTCAGTGAAGAGTTCTCGGAGGAAGTGGTCTTCAGGTGGAGATCTGAAGGATGAAAAGGAATGAGGGAGAGAACTCTCCAGGCAAAAGGAACAGCAAGTGCAAAGGCCCTGAGGTAAAAACAAGTCAAAATTGCTGAACATGCAGGGAGGTGAAATGGGGAGGTAAAAGGAACCAGGTCTGCAAGGACATAGTTGGAGCTATGGTTTTATCCTAAGGGTAACGGGAAGGGAGTGGAGGGCTTTAAGCAGGAGAATGACACTTTTAATGAATGAATCAATGAACTATTATGTCTATTGTAGAACTTGTGAAAGATTGAGTACCCCCCCCAAAAAGTTCTAGATGACGTCTGTATCCTTCCTGTTTATATTCTCTCTCCAATTCCCAAAACCCCTTTCCCTATCATGTTTTTTCCAGTGTGGACTCCCACCACTTATCTTCCTTCAACCCTCTCTCATCTTGTACTACGGAAGCAAAGGTCAATGACGCCACCAAGTCCCTAATTACATAGAGAAGGTAGTGGACAGGGAGGTTGAAAGAGCATCTGGAGTGTTTTTCCTGTTGCTAGAAATCATAAAATTAAGGACTGGGATGTTTCCATTCCTCTTCCTTACCCACTCTGCTCAAAATATCCTTTTGCCTCAGAAGTACTAGAAAAACCTTCCAATAATCAATTGGGGTTCAAGTCTAGAGATGGAAATTTACCTAAACACCCTTTAAAAATGTTAGATTCTGTGGCAAAGTACACTGCCATGCTCTCTCAGAGTTGGGTTTAGCACTGGAGAGGGAGAATGGCATGTCCCCAGGTAATAGGTGGGCATTGTGGGGCCTGGTTCCATCACTCCTGGGAAAGAAGGTCTAGATCCAGTCCACAAATTTTTCATCTGGGCATTTGGCCAAGACTGACTGACCGTTAGACTGGAACCCACAGAGCTGCATCCTGGTCCAATTCACTCTGATTCTTGGATAAACGACTTACTATCTTTAAGCATCTCTGAGCTTCCTCCTCCACAGGACAAGGAACTGCTATGATGATAGCTAAGGTTTCCAGCCCTGATCATCTGGGATTCTATGAGGTCAATTAATATTTTCCAGTCTGTATCCCTACTGGATTCTTAAGTAATGTTACTCCCACCCAAACACTAGAATTATTTTTTTTTCATTAATTAAACAGTAAAACTTGCAGGCCTTGTGCCAACCACTACATTAGGTGCTAAGGACACAAAGAAGAATATAACATAATACTTAACTTCCAAGAGAAAATAATCTAGAGGTGAGGAAAGGCAAACACAGGAACATGCATTTGAAGCGCAGTGTGATTAGTATGATGTGTATTTGACACGATATGGAAACTAATCAAAGAAGGAACTAGTGTTATCTGTCCAGATTAACCAGAGACATAGGTTCATGGAGGATGTAACATCTGAGCAGGGTTCTTAAGGATGAATAGAAGTTCATCAGGGTAGAAAGGAAGGAAAGGCATCACAGATCCCCCAGAGTTCAAGAATTGGCTAGAGATTCAACACAGCTCAAAGGCGGGCTTGGTGAAAGGAACGGTGATGGGTCTTGTACAGCAGTAGGTGCTTATGAGCTTGCAGAGCTCACTGCAGTGGCCTGCCCACTCACTGTTATTTCCTGTGTGACATAAAAGGCCTCCACTTTGCCTCTATGGAACAACCAGGGAAGTAAGAGTGACTTTCTCTAGAAATATTCTGGATATTCTATTACAAGCCAGGATGGCCTCCAGTTTAGATGATAAGAAGGAGAGAGAAGGTCAATCTTAATTAAAAAATCCCACAACTTCTACATAGAACTGTCTTCTTGGGGGTTTGCTCCAGACCTATCACAAAAAGTTCCCTGGCCCTATAGATGCTATCTGGGCCAAGGCACCTTGGTGCACCAGGGTCACTTGCCAATCTAGATGCCTGAGTGCTATCTTTGAGACCCTGTCTAGCATCTCCGATGCCCTTGACCTTATCTTGTTCAGTGTAGGTATAGACAGTTTGCTCCTGGAGAGAACAATTCCCTGTCCAGAATACTGAAACACTAAATGATTTTCATAGATGCTGCTGTCATTGTGTTTAGTCTTAGGCTAGTGAAGGTTGGGGCTCTAAAATTAAGTCTGATTTAAATATTACCAATTTCTAATGCAAAGATATGAGGGACAAGAAACCCAAATGCCTATCTATTTTAAAACCCTGTCTGTTCTCATGAGGTAATCACTTAATCAGATGGCTCTCACCCTTTTACAAGTGCATGAAAATAAAGCCAAGCTCATCGCAGACCCATATTCTATTCCTTCTTCCAGGGCATGATGGAATACTCTTGAAGTCTGGTGTACCTCTTCCAGACCAGGACAACTTTAGTCTGTCCAGGATCTCATGTTTAAGGCAGTGATTCTCAAAGTGTGGGCCTTAGTAGTATCAGCAATATCTTAGAACTTATTAGAAATGCAAATGCTTAGGCTCCACCATAGACCTAGCAATGATGAGTGAGACTCTGTCATCTGTGTTTTAACAATCCCTCCAGTGATTATGTGCACACCTAAGCTTGAGAATCACTGCTTTAGAGGGTCTACTCTGGCTCTCCTCCATCTGCAGTCTCCCCATGGGGTGAGGGATCCAGGGCCAAGCGAGAGGGTCAACCAAGAGTCAGTCTACTACTGTGGACTGCCTGCTTGATTGGAACTTTCCATATTATAATCCATCTTATGTCTATACCTTGACCCCAGAACCCCAGACGAACCAGCGTCAAGTTAGCTAGAACTAGAGGTTCTTCAGAGGACACCTGAGGTTAAGCCTACTTGAATATCTCTCTGTTGTTGCCTACCTCAGTGTCCCCTTCACTTTCTTAAGGTCTCAATGAGATCTTTTGGTCAGTTTCAGCTAAGAAGCTTAGACAATGGCAAATAGTTGAAAATCCAACTTAGTATATAGTTTGAGGAAACTAAATCTCTGCTGGAGAGTTGTCAGGGAATGATGGGCATCAGCTGTAGCAACTGCAACCTGCTAACTGTCGGTCAGCATCCTGCCAAGTCCTCCATGCTTGAACTTTGTGGAAGGTTTCATCTACCTCCTAGCTTCCCCTTTCCACTGCCCTCCTCCCCCCAAATCCTCTACTGCAGTGGCTCTCTACCCTGGCTGATCACTGGAATCACCCAAGGAGCTTTACAAACTCCTGACACCTGTCCCCTCTCCAGAGATTATAGCTTAACTCTTCCGGAGTGCTGCCTGGGGATCAGCATTTTGTAAAGCTCCTGAGGTGATCCCAAGGAAAAAGCCAGGGCTGAGAACAACTGCTATACAGGAGGAAGAGGAAGCTTGACATTGGCTTTGATGAGCTAGCAATTAAGAGACATTATCAAGAAAGTAATATATCTCAGAAAATGTGAAGTGCAGACGTGGTCACATTTAGGCAACAAGAATACAACTTCCAGACTCTCTACCCTCTGCCCCGCCAACTGTCTAGATATAACTGATGTTCGTGAATTGGAAGGTTTTCTTTTTACTCCTTGCATACCGCTTAAAATGTTGTTTGGTGGTTGGAGCTATGGGTAGCTTATTATTAAACCCAAGGATTATTTGCTGGCAATTTTAATACCAAAGATTTGGGGATGCTTGACCAAAAAGACCTCTTGGACCATTCCTCGCACGAGCTCGGAAGCAATGGCTAGTCCCAAGAACGGCCTAAGCCACATCAAAGATGCCCAAGCAGCTGGCGTGAACTGCAGCTTCCTTTCTCCCAGCTTCTGCCAGCCAGAGTTCTCTGTGCTGAGAAAACTCACTGGGGATGTTAGGCATTAAGAGCATGTAGTTGAGGGAATAATAATAGTAATAATAATAGTTGGTGCTCTTGCTGTGATTTTCATTGCTGTGACCTTTTCCCCTTGATTCTCTCCTTTCTCTGGTAGTTCTTACTTTGAGCCTGTACGCAAAAAAGAAATTTGAAG